CCTTCATGCACGGGCCCACCGAGACCTGGTAGAGGCGGTTGTTCTTCTAGAGGGGAGAGAAAGACGGGGGGGGTTTATTTATTAAAACTTCTGCCCTACTCCACCGCGCAACTGAAGCCGAAACTCCTCCCTGACGGAGGAGCCTTCCAGCAGCCTCCCGGACCCGGCAGCCCCGCCGCAGCGCCAGAGCCCAGCACACCCCGTAACCACCTTCAGCTCTTCCAATGCAGGCTCTCGCCTCCTTACAGGCACCCAGTTCGGATTTTGCTTACAGCGCAGTCTCTCCACGAGGTGGAGGGATGATCAGAACTGCTGCCCAGCCCTCAGAGGGAGCCCACACGGCCACGGCGCAGCACCCATCAGGCCAGGCCTTGGCAATGCCACTGCCTTCCACACCTCTGTGCCGGGGAGCTGCCCCACGGCGTCACCGGCCTCTTGCGCGCAGTGGGTCCCAACACCCGAGCAAGGCCAGACCCCAGTCAGATCCAAGAAGGAAACAGATCCTTCTGCTCTTTTTTTCCCCCTGGAGGAGCCTGTCCTCTCCTCCCACTAACAGCTGATCTGAGGACCCCTTCTCTGTCCAGAAAGGGTTCTCTGCACGGCCCCCGCAGCTCCCGTGGGCAGCAACCTCCTGCTCTCCTGCATGGAGGGAGCAGATACGTGACAACAGCCGCACCGTACTCTGCATCACTGCTTATGGCTGTAAGCAGATGTCCAATGAAGTGGAGAACGTGGCAAGAAAACGCAACGCTCCTCCAGAACACCCCCCATGCCGAGCCTTGTGCTGTCACCGACTGCGCGCAGCTGGCCCTTCTCTGTACCAGTGACTCTCAGGCCTAACGTGCTGCCCCTTGTTCCCACCAGTCTTCACTTATCTGAAGAGTCCTGGCCTGCTCCCGTATTCCTCGTGTGAAAGGTGCCCCACACCTTCACAGAATCATTAAGGTTGGAAAAGACCTCTAAGATCATCAAGTCCAACCGTCAGCCCAACACCACCATGCCTACTAAACCATATCCCGAATGGCCACATAGACACATTTCTTGAACACCTCCAGGGATAGGGACTCCACCACCTCCCTGGGCAGCCTGTTCCAATGTCTGACCACTCTTTCAGTAAAGAAATTTTTCCTAATATCTA